CCCTTTCATCAGGACTTTAACAAATGGATGTGTATACAGGATTGGGCTCTGCAGGCTTGATTTACTAAGAATGGAGAGTGCAAAATCTGATGCAGCTCTGCATAGAAACCAATCAGCTTCCAGGTTTTATTGCTAAAAAGTAATTGAACAAGTAGAAGTCAGAAGCTGATTGGCCACCATGCACAGCTGCACCAGATATTGCACTCTCCCGTTTTAGTAAATCTCCCCCCATAGAGTTGTCCAGGGCTTTTTATTACTGTGGATGGTTGAAGTGGAACATCCTCCTTTGGGAACCAGTGCCTAGAGCGCAGAGAGAGCCAGTGGGATGCTATGCAGGAGGCTTTGAGAGGCGCCATATCTGTCAAGTATGGTAAAAGTCTGTTGCTTTGTCTTGAATCGGCAAAGAAAAGGTTTGCTCAAGCTGGCCACCCGCATTACAGTCAGATTGTATAACCTTCTATAAACCTGCTATGAATAAAACTTGAAGGCTGCAATGAATAGGTTTGCTGATATACAGATGATTCCACTTAAAAGCAGGCCAAGAAATCTGGATACAAATAAAGTGTTGTTCACTGTGCCATATTATGAAAAGTAAAAATGTGAAAGTCACACTAGATGATACTTTCAGATAAATTGCACTCATGAAAAGTACCCTTTAGACTAGTTTTAAACATTGATAGATAAAATGTGAGCGTGATCAGCTTCTTACAGTACTCAATGCCTGCACAGCAGAGAAATAAAGTAACTAAGATGAAGCCAAAAAGTTTGAAATCGCTAATACGGCATGACAGGTACACTTAAGAATTCAGGACTGCACAGAACAAAGAAAATCCTCTCTTCTCTTTTTCTCCTTGTCACAATTTCTGTTTCTCATTGAAGGTATCATCAACATACAGGAACGGTATAAAAATGAAACTTTTTTTCTTCCTTTTTAAATTGAATAAAGCATTTTGCATCTCAAGCTACAACTTCTCTCTCAACCTGTGCTATGCCATTTAAATCCACACTGTTATTTGCACCATCGCACAAAAGAACCGACTTGTCAACTCATGAAAGCAGCTGCTATACCTTTGTGTTATTGTCAATAGCTCTGACAAAGAACAGATCCGGGCCAGTAATATCATATTGAAATGCAAAAGGCTCTGTGAACACATTCCTTCCCTACTCTTTTTATAAACTATTGTGGTGTCTGAAAATTGATTTGCGTTTTGCGGTGTTCGCGGGATCCTCAGACTGAAAGGGAGAAGCTCAGGGGGTGAAGTTTGCAAGTGCTATTATCAAATGGGGAGGCATTGAATTGAAGTTGCAGAAGTAGTATTATGTGAATCTAGTACCTGTGGATTATTTCTCTGAAGGACTAATGGCATGACTGGCGTTTGGAAATTACCCTGAAACTGAGGGGCGGACTGGTGAAAAAAAAAAATTGTAATAATTCTTTGTGGGGCTAAATGAATTCTTTGGTACAAAACATTAAAGGATGACTGCACTTTTAAAATTAAAAATATTTCCCAGAACCTGGCATCAGCATCGAAAATGTCATTTCAACCCCAAGATGTCGATATCTACTGCCTGGCCTGCCAGGGACCATTTCTGCATATTTGAGCCCCATGTTCCCTGCTCTCAAATAAGACTGACATGTCTGCTTGGCAGAGGATGAGTATAACCATAAAAATTAATTTCAGCCAGCCTTGCTCGTGAAACATTGAAAGTGGGGGCTACCATTATTTTTTTTATCGCCAGACTCACTGTCTTTTTTTGCACAGGCATTGTATTCCAATGGAAGGAAGGATCACCACTGAACAAGCCATGGAGAAGCCATGACTATTGCACCAGAGATAGGCTTGTCCACTCCCCATTACCACCATGACCGTTCCGTACAAACCCCCCTTTCCCCTTAACCAATTATACTTACAAAAAACATGACACCAATTTTGGAGTAAATGGCCAACATGGCCTTTTATTAACAACACAAATTTAAATACCCCAACCATTGCTTATAACAGAAACCCAAAGAATTGTTGTTGGTCTTCGAAGGCACCCCCAAACAATCCAAAATGCACCTGCGGACAACCATATACACTAGGCCTCCAGTCGCAACCAACCAGCTCGGAGACAACCATACTGTCCGCAGTGCAGCACCACCACCTTCCAGTTAAACCTTGGTTAAATGGGAATGTCCCCGGGCATCCCATACCACCGATGGGTCCCACACCATTGTTTTTAACTTCCAAGATAAGAACCGCCTCCAAAGAACAACAACCGCCCAGGAACCAACATAACCCCCCTTTACGTGGAGGGACCCAATACTCACCAAAAACAGGGAGGGCGGGAGGGAAGCTCTCATGCCTGACGTCCAGCTCAAACTGATGCCCCCTCACTGAAACTCTCCACCCTAAGGTGCAGGAAACCCCACCTACTCTCTCAACCTTCCACCAACCAAATACCCCCACTATCAAAAACAAACCCTTTGGATCTGCCTTAACCCTTTCTGTTCCTCCTTCCCCACTCTGGGCCTAGTCATGTATGCCCTGCGCCATTTCTTCTTTCTTTTTTGCTATGGGCATTTCTTGAATTGAGTTGCAGAATTTGTTGAGATTTAGAGGGTCCAAATACTCACCCATCTTTCTTACCTGTTTTGTCATCTTCGCTCCTTTGCTCCAAGAGAGCATGAGACCTCCCTCACGTGACAGTGGTGAGGCCCAAGCAGCCAGTCATGAGGCTCAAAGACTGTCACATGGGGAGCAGTGATGTCATCAACCCAGGTAAACTCAGACATTATCCAAAAGCAAAACTTGCCTCCTACCACCTGAAGGCAAGGGATCAGGGAGTATACCTCCCTACTTGCATACCTGCCTACATTCTGAAATGCTAAAGAGGGAAACCTGTAGCACACAGTATGCTGGCAAAGGACATGTCCCTGCCAGTCATAGTTACACAGGCCACAATTTCTAATAATCAGAAAATGATTGGTCAAACCAAGCAAGTGATTTTTTTTTTTCTGTTACATTTTCCCTTTTTTTAGTTTTTATATATAACTTCAGCTTCAGCTCCGGAAGGTTTTACCCCCTTCATGACCAGGCCATTTTTTGCTATTTGGCACTGCTCTACTTTAACTAGTAATTATGCGGTCATGCAACGCTGTACCCAAATAAACTTTATATAATTTTTTCACACAAACAGAGCTTTGCTTTGGTGGTATTTGATCACCACTGGGACTTTTATTTTTTATTATATAAATGAAAAAAGACAGAACATTTTGAAAAAAAAAACAACTATATTTTCTATTTTCTGCTACAAGACATATCCAATAAGAAATTTAAAAAAATTAATTCCTTAATAAATTGTGTATAAAATGTAATAAAGCATATTCTGCTATATGGCTTTGGTAACAAAGTCCTAACTGTATATTGATTGGTTTGTGTGAAAGTTATAGTATCTACAAACTATAGTATATATACTGGACTTTTTTTTTTATACTAGTAATGGCGGTGATCAGTGACTTATAGTGGGACTGTGATAATGCAACAGGCAATCTGACACTGGATGGGAACTGACTAACTAACACTGACATTACCAGGCAGTGACGCTAATACAGTTGAAGGAAAGCCGAGGGCTGGGCCCACAGATTCAGAGGGTACACGATGCCACACAGACAGCGGTTCGTTTAAAACAATTACGTTTACTGAACAGTTATAGTGATCATGTAGTTGAGCATATGTGAACAGAATGATAACAGCGCATAACCATACAGTAAGAATAATACTGTCTAACACTAACCCCGTACTTGCGGACTTTCCCCAATGTCCAGAGAGCAGCCTGGCTGCGCCTGAATGTTCCTGAGCAAGATATAACGTTGGGGTGCACCCTAAGTATTGCGCAATACTATTTGTCATACAAAGGAAAGTGGAGTGTGTCTCTTGTAACTTTCTGGTATATCTAAAATGTCACTGACCACGTGTGGTGCGATGTGCTGCGGCAAAGCTGCACTTACGATTCCCTGGCAGGTGCTTTCTCCTGACCCACTCCGGAACTGGACCATACAGTTACTTGTTTCCTGGCCTCGTTGTGGATCTTCCTTAGGTGCCCTCGCCAGATTCCTCTGTGAGCCGTAAATCCTCTTCCAGGCCCCACACAGATTCTCCAGAAGTCCTCAGCATCCATCAGCCAGACCCAGACTCCACTTTCTCCACAGCACAGGAACTCCTCCCCTTCCCATAGAGTTTGTGATGCAGTAAGTCATTTCTTAATTGCAGCCTCAAACCTGCATTTACAGTTCACTATGACCCTTCTGAGGGTCCTACTCAGCCCCTAAATTAGTATTCATTAAACTTTATAGGGTAAATAAGCATTTATCTTGTCTTAGCAAAAGTCTCTACAAAATCGATTCTTGTACTTTGCTGCCATCTACTGACCAAAGAGCATATTGCAGTTTAACATTACACACTAGAATTAATTAATGCATCACACCCTTACACAGTCATCAGTGCTAATACTATACACTGTCACTGTACTATATGACAGTGGCTGGGAAGGGGTTAACATCTCTGGGCAATAAAAGGGTAGGAGTGCATATTTAACAAGTGGTAATATGTGTATTATGTGCTGCTTTTTACTTAAAACATCTCTTTGTTTCTCCCTGCTTTGCAGAGAGAAGAAACAAAGAGATTGTTCCCTCTGTACAGAGCCCTGTATTGGCTGTCAACACAGGGTTCTGTGCTGTGATTGGACACAGCCAATCAGCAGGTCCCAGCCAATGATTCATAAAAGGGTAGGAGTGCATACTTAACAAGTGTTAATATTTGTATTATGTTCTGTTTTTTTACTAAAGACAATCTCTTTGTTTCTCCCTGCTTTGCAGAGAGAAGAAACAAAGATTGTTCTCTCTGTACAGAGCCCTGTATTGACTGTCAACACAGGGCTCTGTGCTGTGATTGGACACAGCCAATCAGCAGGTCCCAGCCATGAATCATTGACTGGGACCAAGGGCGGACTGACAACTCATGGGGCCCCCGGGCAATAGGGGATCATGGGGCCCCTGTGACCTTGCCCAAACTCAAAAAAGCCTATTAAAAAGGTACCAGGGGCATCTCATGGGGCCCCCTACTGACTCCAGGCCCTCAGGCAGTGCCCGAGTTTCCAAATGGTCAGTCCGCCCCTGGCTGGGACCTGCTGATAAAATACTGCTGTGTCTAATCACAGCAGGAGTCAGCAGCATGTATGCTGGAGCCCTGTACCTGGAACGCACAGGTACATACAGTGTCTGTACGGGACACCCGTCTGCAGAGAGCCCTGAAATGGTTAACAAATTGGATAAAGCATGCAGAGATGCACTTGCATGTGATTCAAGATGAAAAAAATTTGAACAGGTAATCTCCATCATTAAAAAGGGCCATGGGTAAAATTCAGTTTTTATCCTGCAACTCCTTGCACTGAACCAGGATGATCAAAACTGATGCAGGAAGAAAAGAAGACCAGGGCGCAGGATCACACACATTTGTTTTTTTTCTTTCTTTCTTTCTTTTTTCTTTCTTTCTTTCTTTCTTTCTTTCTTTCTCTTTCTCTGTATAACAAATATGTCATTATAGAGGTTGAATAAAAGTTTAGTGTAGCATAACACTTTTGGTAGTAAAATTTAGTATAAAGATGTGTTCATCAAACCAAAATAAGGGGCAACTGAGGCTGCACAAGTTTCAGAGGGATTTGATCTAAAAAAAGGGACAGTTCCTCCCAATGGAGGACAGCTTTGATCTACACTAGTGGGCTATCAGCAGGCCTTGCTCTGAATGGGCAAATGGAAGTGCCTCTTTAAAGTCCAACTCCTACCTTTTGCTCCTTCTCGACTCTATTCAGCCACCAAAGCTTACCCAAGGTGGACTCCTACAGACAAGGGAGTGTAAATCAGTGAGCATATCCTGTTGGGGTGGTAGGTCTTTTGATCTGAATGGGCAGATAAATGACCTCTTTAAAGTCCAACTCCAGCCATTTTTTTTTAGTTTAGCATAGAATGAAAAAGAGTTAATATTTTAGTTGTTTTTTTTTGTTGTTTTCTGGATGTGACCCCATCAGAGAGACTTCCCATTAATTTCTGTCTCTGTGACACCTATACAAGAAATGGGGATCTGGACCTAAGCCTTCCTCGCTTGTCTCACCAACCTTTTTTTTAGAACTCTGAGTCGGTAGGAAGTAAGGTATATCTTAATCTGTAAAGAAACAGCAAACCCAGATATTCCTTTGCTTAGGGATGGACTCTGTATGGATAGGACCACATCACAAATTTCTTGGGATATGCACGCCTTGTTGCCCTCAAATGACCGGGGAAGTCCAAATGTACTCAGTAGAGAAAAACAAACAGAGGGCACCCTGGCCTATTGCATTACCTTTAAAAATGTATTTAATAAATGATAAAAGTAGGTATTGTACTCACAAAATGACAATACAGTCAAAGGCACATCATGAAAGAACAGCTCTGTCCAATCCGTACTACGTGTCTGTCCGTAATGGAAACTCTGGACCTCCAACAGGATAACACATTTCGAGGACTTGCCTCTTCCTATGAGCTCCGAAGAAGAGGCAAGTCCTCAAAACGTGTTAGCCTGTTGGAGGTCCAGAGTTCCCATTACGGACAGACACGTAGTGCGGATTGGACAGAGCTGTTCTTTCATGATGTGCCTTTGACTGTATTGTCATTTTGTGAGTACAATACCTACTTTTATCATTTATTAAATACATTTTTAAAGTTAATGCACTAGGCTGGTGTGCCCTCTGTTTGTTTTTCTCTACTCAGTATATCTTAATCTGTAAATGTTTGTGTTTATCCAGACCTAGAAAAGGAAATGTGTAACTGGCAGGATCACCAGGTGAAAATAAATGAAAAAAGGCAGAAAGAGAAAAATCTAATGCAGCCACCACAACTAAGGAATGCAATGTACTTCATGTTTATTTTTGGGTTTAGATATGTACTATTAGAAATTTAGGTGATACACGATAACATCATCTATTGTCCCACACTGCAGAATATTTGCTCCGTTCAGCCATACTCCTGCAGTCCATTTATGTTACAAGAGACTGGCTGGATGACGGGTGACTATAATGAGTTTCATTTAACATAGGCTTCCGTTCCAACCAGTCATCTATATTTTGCTGCTGACACAGGCTGGGGAGAATCAGTCATTTTATATTTGCGCCTTTGACTTTTGACTGTGAAAAAAGTATGTGTGACGGACAGCGTTATTAATCCTCATTGTCAGCGACTTGTGAATTCATCATTCATGTGTCGCAGCCATTGTGTCCAATGTGGTATTGGCTATTTTTATAATCCCCTTGTCTTTCTCCATACAATCAGACAGAGAAAAGATGACACGGTGGGAAATAAGGCTGCCTGTCTGTTTAGAGGAGGATATTGTTCTGAAATGCGCCAATTACAGAGGCACTCATGGCTAGTGGAGAAAGGAGCTCCTGAGATCACTCTACATGGCCAGGGGCGGACTGAAAACTCATAGGGCCCCAGGGCATTAGGGGATCATGGGGCCCCTGTGTCCTTGCCCAAACTCAAAAAAGCCTATGAAAAAGGTACCAGGGGCATCTCATGGGGCCCCCTACTAACCCCGGGCCCACGGGCAGTGCCCGAGTTTCCATTCGGTCAGTCTGCCCCTTTACATGGCTGTTTAATATTTGCTTTGTTTGAGTTGGAAAGAAATGGATTTAGAGACATCCTGAAAGGTAAAGATGTGCACGACCGACGTAAAAATGTGTTTTGTTTCAGTTTAATTTGTTAAGTAAACCACTTCATTTCCTCATATTTGTTATCTTCAAATGATTTGTTTTTGGAATTTGTTTTGAATATTAGTTGTTCCGATTTGATTCGAATTTCCAGAAGTTATTTCAGAAGATTTGCTATATTCATTTTAATGTGTTAATTTTTTTTTTTTTAAGAGATTACTTATGCACTTTCATCCCTGCTAGTCCAACCCACAAAGAGAAATGGAATGAGCTGATTGGATGATATTGACTGAAGTCGTGTGCATCCAAAAGTAACAAATGGGAGAATTTAATATTCATTCATTATCTTATGACTCGGAGATTCTGATGGATCCACCTTCATCCAACCCAAACACAATAAGTAGGAATCCTTTTATTTCACTTTTAAACTTTACTGTATTTATTGCAAAAAGTTTACATTTCATATGTACTGCATTTTTTATAATAACAAATGTCAATGTAAATACACTCACTGGCCACTTTACTAGGTGCACCTGTTCAATTGCTTGGTAACACATTGCTAATCAGCCAAAGACATGGCATCAGCTCAATACCTTTAGGCATCTAGATGTGGTGAAGACAACTTGCTGAAGTTCAAACTGAGCATCAGAATGAGGAAGAAAGGGGATTTAAGTGACATTGAACGTGGCATGGTTATTGGTGCCAGACGGGCTGGTCTGCATATTTCAAAAACTGCTGATCTACTGGGATTTTCACTCACGACCATCTCTAGGGTTTACAGAGAATGGTCCAAAAAAGAGAAAATATCCAGTGAGTGGCAGTTGTGTGGATGAAAAATGCCTTGTTGATGTCAGAGGAGAATGGGCAGACTGGTTCGAGATGATAGAAAGGCAACAGTAACTCATGTCAATATGGACCAGAATCTCTGAGGAATGTTTCCAACACCCTGTTGAATCTATGCCACAAAGAATTAAGGCAGTTATGAAGGCAAAAGGGGTCCCAACCCGGTACTAGGAAGGTGTACCTAATAAAGTGGCCAGTGAGTGTAAATACAAAATGGATTTGGATCATTCGTTATGTCGTTACATTATACTGGATGCTTCAAACATCAACAAAAGGCCCAAACTATCGCATCATGTCATCTGAATGAAACAAAAGAATACAAATTAATTAGTTCTTTTGTTGTAATTTATTTCTGATTCATTGAAATTTGTTACTATTGTGATCCGGAGATTCGTATTTTTCTGAATAATGAAACTTTTGTCTGAATTTTGATTTGTAATGAAACAAATTGCACCTGTCTACTGAAAGGTTAGTATCTCGGTGCCTCTACTGTATCCTGATCAACACCTCAGCTTAAAGTGGACCTGTGCTATACCCATGCAGGAAAAAGTAACATATTCACTTTAATGTAGAACTCCCCAGTAGAATATATTTACCCGTCCTTTTGCTTCCTCACCCCTCTATTCCACCGCAAAAGTGAAAAAAATTTGTGGTGTAACCAGGGCCGCTGCTAGAAAGCACGGGGCCCCATACAGCCAACCTGACAGCCCCCCCTTCAAAAAAACAAACACAGTTTACTATGCTTCAGTTATGAATGAACACAGTGAGTGATCAGTACCGATCACTCAATTGTGTTCATTCAGGAAAGGAAGGAGCTAGTTAATGTGACATATTTATCAGACCCTTCCTCCACTCTTCGTCCTGCAGGATCCTATTGTGTGATTGTGCCAGTGGTAAGGAGAGGAGGGAAGCCGGCATTGTGGGGGCCCAAGCATCTGGGTGAATCAGATGTGCACAGGGAGGCTGGTCGACATGGTGTGCAAGGGGGGGCAATTACTAGAACCAATCTCCTGTATGGCTCTCTCTGCAGCAGCTGAAAACCAGCGTGAGGGAGAGGAGAAGAATCCAGCTTTCAGATGCTGCATAGAGAGCTATACAAGGGATAGATTTCAGTAATTGTCCCCCCATCATACCGATCACCCTCTCTGCCCACATCTGAATCACCCAGCTGCCTGGGCCCCCCTGCTGGACTAAGCCCTGTACAGGAGGACTGGTGGTACCCCATTATCCACAGCCCTGGGTGTAACCTACAAGGTGCTAGAGCCGTAGCTTACACAGGGCTATGGACTCCTTGTGTGAAAATACTGGTTGGTTCAGTGTTGTCACATGAAGGGAGTGGCACTGCAAGAAACTGCAGTTGAGTATGCGCTGCTGGGGATGGGGGAAGTAAAGCAATCTGGGTGAAATGCGTCAACAGGCGAAGATTGTAGCTAAAATTTGTACTTTTACTTTGAGATGTGGTGGATAAACACTCAGAATCTGGTGCAGCTGTGCATGGCAGATAATTGCCTTTTAGCAAGAGTTTGTTCAATTAAGCTTTGACAACAAAACTTGGAAGCTGATTGGTTTCCATGCAGAACTGCACCAGATTTTGCACACTCCAGTTTTAGTAAATCTCTCCCAATAGAGTGCGGCCCAGAGCTTTTTATTACTGTGGATGAATGAAGTGGGACATCCTCCTTTGGGAACCAGTGCCTAGAGCGCAAAGAAAACCAGTGGGATGCTATGCAGGAGGCTTTGAGTGGTGCCATATCTGTCAAGTATGGTAAAAGTCTGTTGCTTTGTCTTGAATCGGCAAAGAAAAGGTTTGCTGAAGGTCACCACCCACATTACAGTCAGATTGTATAATCTGCTATAAACCTGCCATCAATAAAACTTGAAGGCTGCAATTTCTGATCTGAAAAAGCTATTTGCCTGGCTGTTATACAAACCCACTGGCTTTGATAACCTGGAACAGTTATACAGATTAGGACAATTGAAGACAAGTCAGAAGTCCTTAGGTATCTACATCAAACAGCAACAGAGTAAATTGCACACACAGATTGGAAAGTGAGCATGTAGTACTAGGCTTTTTTCTTAGAAAGCCCAGAATCCTCTGCAAATTAACTATCATGAAAGAACCCTTATTAAATGTTTATTTGTAAAAGAAAACACTTCTACTAACAAGAAAACAAATGAAAAGATCACTACAGGCTTAAAAACACTTCTGAAAAGGTACAATGAAATTGATCAAACACAAATTTCCCTTTAAATTCACTTCCAGTAAATAAAGAAAATGTGTATTACTTTCACTAATAACTCAGAAAATAGACTAAATACGTCCATGACAATGGAAAGAAAATTCTTTGTGTACATGAACTGTGGTCCTTCTTTTTTGGGCTATTCAATTACATATATTGTATGCTACTGGCATGCAGCAGCGGCCTTGAATCAAATAAAGAGGATGAAGAATTATACTGAAGAGATTAGACAATTGGTGGGCCAATTCTGTAATGTTTCTCTTTAGAGACACTGAAAAGAGGCCAGGTCACAGATCTGTAGTTTATCAACGTCACCAGCACTACAGAACACAATTATAATTGTGAAAACAGAGATATTTTTATTGTATGACATGTAGCAGGCACTTCTAGGGAATTGTATAATCTAGATATTTAAAGTCCATAGTTCTTTCTCTGGTGGATTGTTATATAATGTTTTCATCCTAACTTACATTATAAGTAAAACTTTGCTAGAGTGTGACCTTTTTGTAGTGATTTTAGCATGGTAGCATAATATATATATATTATATACTGAATATCATGACACACAGGCTGGCAGGATTGTAGATGGTGTATATGTGTCACCTATGTTTCTGATCTACAAATGATAAGTGGCTCCAGGGTAGATGATTGATATGGAGAAAACAATGTTGTTTTCTCAAAATCGTAATATGCCCTGTTCAGGGTCTTGGAGCCCAGAGGCTTTCTAGAGCTTTGGAAGGGAATAAGCCTCTATTCTTGGGTCCACATCTTACCTGGTAGCCAGACCTCATTAATCAGTCTCATATGTGCACAGGCCTTTATGTAAGTGAACTAATAGATGCTCATTGCTGTCCCTCTGTGCTGAGAGCCTTGTAAGGTGGGGTTGTTTCCCTTTTAGTGAGGCCCCTCCCCTGGGTGGTTGGTGGGTGGAGTCAGTACCATTTATAAAGTGTGGTGGGTAAAGCTCTAGTCAGATGGGAATATGGGAACAGGTCACCGCTGACTTACATCATGCAGGTTTGTGACCTGGGCAGGAGAGAGGGTCCTTCGGGGCTGGACAGACAAGAGGATCTGGATGAGGACCCAAAGTAGGGGGACTCACAGCAGAGAGAGGATGGGAGAACTGGCTGAACATTCTGAGTTACCTGTTGAACTGTACTGGAAGTCTGATATGTGACTTTGTATAGAAGGTTATTCCATTACTTTACAGTAACCTATTGGAAAGGCAGCATGTGTGAACATTATTTATTTAAGGCGGTGGTCCTCAGACCTGGAGTGTCTGACTCAATATGGCAGAGTTTCTCTGGAAGACATGTATCTGCCAGCCTTATCAGAAGAAAACTTGGGGGGGAGAAGAGCCCTTGCCAGCTTGGTCGCTTGCAACCGGCTGCTGAGTGAACAGGTTGACTGCTGACAGAGGCTGTTTGACAGATGGTGATTAGGTATGGCTTGCTCATAAGAATAGAGAACTTCTGAGCAAGCCAGGAGTGGTAAAACGCATCAAGGAAGTTTGTTTTTGGGGGGAGACAACCTGCTGTTTGAAGTCAGTTTATTCAAAATTAAAAAATACTAGAAGAGGAGCTAAGTGGAGTGGAGCTGATATTCCTTCATATTTTCAATGGAGAGTAGAGACCAGGGGCGGACTAACCATTTGAGCACTCGGGCACTGCCCCAGGGGCCCAGGCTCAGTAGGGGGGCCCATGAGATGCCCCTGGTATCTTTCATTGGCTTTTGCATAGGCTTTTTTGGGTTTGGGCGAGGACACAGGGCCCCATGATTCCTTATTGCCCTGGGGCCCCATGAGTTGTCAGTCCGCCCCTGGTAGAGACCGACAATAATGGCCAGCACAC